GGCGGGCGCGGGGAGGAAACAGGTTGCAGGAGGGCAGGAGGGGGAAGGGACTTCTACTGCATTGCGTGTCCTGGGTACACAACATCATACAGAGATTTACAGCACATCTATACAGCTGTAAAGCGCAGCAAATATGCCAAGTTGGCACACTCTCTCTCGTCGTGGTTGATGACGAGCGGGATGACAGCGGTGTTCCCCCCGGGAGCCCCCCCGGGGGAACATGACGGAGGTGGTGTGGGGGTCGGGGGACTACTGCCCATGCATGCAGGCTAGTGAGGCCACACACGAGGGTGTAAAGCTACTCTTTTCCCCCCCCTTACTTCCCACACTGCTCATACATGTACCACATGTGTATCACTCACATGCAGCAGGTACTTGAACTCGGCGTGCTTCTCCAGGCTGACCCGGGGGCCGCTCTTCACGTCCAGAAGGGCGGGGTGGCGGCGAGCTGCCCACTCCATGAAGTGAGATCGTACGGCACACGTCTGCGTCAACAAGGACTCCTGCCGTACGTGTACGTGCGGTGAGGTTGGGTGACGTAGGTGAGGGTGGGGACGTTGGAAAAAGGGGTTGAGCAGGGGGGGAGAAGGTTTTAGGGGTTTTCAGGGGTTAACAAGGCAAGACCTTGAAATGGGAGGATGAGGAGCAGGAAAAGATCTGTATGCAGGGGAAGCGAGGGAGGAGGGAGGGAGTGCAAAGTTAACCTTTCCCCCCTCCCCCTCCCCCTCCCCCTCCCACCTGACGGCAAATGGTCGAGTTACGGGCCCCCACCCGCAGAGTGCTGTTGGCCAAGGGGTGGATGTAACGATAGTACTTGGAAAACCTGTACGACATACACACACGCCGTTGTACACACACAACACACGGGAAAGGGCAATGGAGGCGAGGGCGGCGGGAGGTGGACGGGTGCGGTCACGGACACATGAGACTGGCAGTGAGAATACATGCACCGAGTAACGGCATTACGCAGCAACTTCACGTCTACCCCCCCCCTCCCCCCTGCCCCCACCGTCCAAACACAATGGGCTGTCGGTCCGCCCAGGGATGCTTAGCTGCCAGCTCCTCACAGCCAGCCAGGTACTTCTGTGTGTATTTCTTAGTGTAGAAGTGGAAGATCTGATCGGAGCGAGGATTGGGTAGGGAGTAGGGAGTGGGTCGGGAAGCTACCAAGGGAAAGCAGGACGCTACCCTGGCAGGTTGCGAACAGCAGCAGGAGCGCGGCGGGATGCTGATGGAGACGGAACAGGAACAGTGGGCAGCTGAGGGATCGTAAAGGTGATGCCGAAAGTGATGGGACAAGATAAAGGAAGGGTGCCTGATAAGGAGGCCGAGAGAAGGGCCTCGTAGGGAGAGAGAGAGCGGCAAAGGTAGCTAGATGAGAACGGAAAGGGCAGTGGAGGAGCGCAAGGAGGGGTAGTGGCAGCTGCGGCACGGGCAGCGCGCACAGCAACGAGGTGACTGGTAGGCGGGGTTCTCAGGGCGAGAGGGTGAGAGGGTGAGAGGGCGAGAGGGCGAGGGCGAGAGGGCGAGGGTGAGAGGGCGAGGGTGAGAGGGCGAGGGTGAGAGGGCGAGGGTGAGAGGGCGAGGGCGAGAGGGCGAGGGCGAGAGGGCGAGGGTGAGAGGGCGAGGGTGAGAGGGCGAGGGTGAGAGGGCGAGGGTGAGAGGGCGAGGGTGAGAGGGCGAGGGCGAGAGGGCGAGGGCGAGAGGGCGAGGGCGAGAGGGCGAGGGCGAGAGGGCGAGGGTGAGAGGGCGAGGGTGAGAGGGCGAGGGTGAGAGGGCGAGGGCGAGAGGGCGAGGGTGAGAGGGCGAGGGTGAGAGGGCGAGGGTGGGAGGGCGAGGGTGAGAGGGCGAGGGCGAGAGGGCGAGGGTGAGAGGGTGAGAGGGCGAGAGGGCGAGGGTGAGGCGCCAAACCCCCCGGGGTGCCGGGGCCGCGTCCGGGAGTATGTTGGGGTGGGGTGGGGTTTAGGAAGTACACACGTCTCTGGTAAACCCTAAGTCCCCGATCAGGTTGCAGGTGAATCCGAAGCAGAGAAACAGAACCTCCTCTTCGTTCTAAGGACCGCGGTGCCATACTTGCGGACGGCTGGCCCTTCCTGCCCCCTGCCACTAGGGTCTTAATCTTTTGATCTGATACTTGTCGCACACAGCACGCATAAATGTTATGTTTCTTCTTTCGCCATTTGCTCGTCCACGCGTTCCGCAGAAAAGACCTTTCTCTGACTTACTGGAATCTTGATTTCCGCGTGCTCGTCCGAGGAGCAGAACCGCATGACCGGGGGGATAGGGCCCGGCTGCTGCGCCGCCGTCAGCACCAGCGGCCGATCCGAGCTGGCGATTACAAATTCGATATCCGGAATCTGGTTGCCGTACTGTCTCGCTAGATCCAGCATGACGAGCATGTACGTGAACAAGATGTTGACATGGTGGCCCAGCCCTGTTAACTTTGGCTCGTCCACTACGTACGGCACGCCATCATAAAACGCGAGTGCCATGCCTTTCTGCTGGCCGCGGGTAGTGTATCGCGAGATCGCGAGGTTCAGGGCTTCTCGCGAGATACCTTCTGAGTTATTCCACAGCCGAAGATCCGCTCCGATACCATCGTACAGCTCCCCTAACGTCTCGCAGTACGACAGCTGCTCGTTCAACGGGTACGTGGTATTGCCGTAATAGCGCGTCAGATCGGCCCGTACTGCAGGCAGCAGCAGCAGCAGCGGTGGCGGCGATAGGAGCACCAGGGAGAGTACCAGGAGCAGCAGGGGGAGGTTGGCGGGGAGGAGGAGCAGAGACTGGTTTCGGAACAGGTGGGGCAACGTGCGGGAGGTGAGGCGGTGGCGGTAATAGCGGGGCTGATAGCGGCACTGAGAGAATTGCTGATGGATGGGCGACGCTGGAGACGGCGGTGCTTGTGCTCGTGGGGGGTTCGTTGGGGCGACATTATGGGGTGATGTCACCGCCCGACTGATGCCGTTGCGGCAAGGCTGTGGCCGCGACACGTATTCCTCGACGGTGATGCCTTTAGAGCAAGGGGGGCAGAGTGGCCAGAGTTGTTGTTCTTCGGGCTGTGTGAGCGAGTGTAGCTCCATGCCGTCGCGGAGCATCAGTGATGGAGCGTCCGAGGAGTATCGCCTTGGCAGCTCGGCATGATCCTTCTGCCAATCGGTATGCTTGCTTCAAAGCCTCAAATCAGCACCAGCAGAGAGCTGAACACCTCAAAATGACCTCAAGGCCAAGTGCCCTGCTGAGCCCCCTTTCCTCATTCCTGGATTGTTATTGTGCCCTGCTTAAAGCACGCCGTATCATTCAATCATAATCCTAAGTAACACCTATGGCATACGCGGTCAGCTGGCAATTGGCTAGCAGGTCTGGAACCTATCAGTCATTCTTCATATTATTTTTGTGACGGGTAGAAATGTCCCTTAAATGGATGTCCCATCAAAGAATCTTTCTGATCAGAAAAATAACACCGATTTGGCGTTATGTAAAGCTGTACGAGCAAAACCTCTTCACAAGGGCTGTAATTGAAACAGGATTCAAAACATGGAACATTCAATAAAAAGTAAACCAGCACGATGATCGCCCCTCTTCTCTCCTGCTGAGTGTAAGTTTAATGACAATGACATTAACGAACAACTGTACCGGTATCGAAAACGGCTAACCAGCGGCAATGGGCGAATCGGGGGTCAGGGCATTTGTTAAGGGTTTTCGGCATTCTGTGTGTTGCGGTCCCGCTTGGTATTTTCCATGCGTATGGCCGTACCGTTTACCGAACGGACCGTACAGGCAACCTTGGGTTGCTCGTCGACTTCCCCCTTCCTTTCCCCAATCCATCTTCCCCAGCCGACAGTGGAATTTGGCGAGTTGATTGCTGCAATTCCATGTTCCACTACACTACATTTTCGCGCTTCTGTGCCCGTTGTTGACACCTGCTCGCTGCCGCCAGGGTCGCAAAACATGGAGTAGGAGCCCCGCCCAAAACGTGCCCACGCACAAAAGAACTAACTCCACCTCCAGTCACCAGTATCCATCTGCGCCTTCACCACCGAAACATCACCCAGACAGACGCATACAGTCGTTAGATACAATGCAGGGGAAACCCTCTGCTTACTGCCACCATCTCCACCTCCACCACCACGGCCATCGCCGCCGCCATCGCTCCGACATTCCACAACAAGTCCGGGTCATCTCTACTTTATCCCGATGCGCACAGGGCGAGGCCCAGGTTTCACAAACGCCCAGGGTGCGTAGGGCTATCGCGCGAGAGGGGAGACATGAGAGAACAGATTTGGAAAGCTAGCGCTAGGCATGGGAAGCGAACCGGAATGGCGAGCGGCATGGGGAGCAGCTGAAATGAGGCATTTGGCTGCGTGCTTACCTGCCTTTACCTGTTACAGACTGCGCAACCTGTAAGTTGCCGTAACGCGCGCGATCAATCAGACCACATCACAAAATTGACTTTTCGACACCGGTGGCGTTATTAAAAATGCAAAACATTTTTTGCGTTCTCTTGCTCCGAGCCCAGAGCGGAACGTTCTTCCGTACAGTACAAAACCTATGGATGGATTGCCACCTTCAGACACATGCACAGTTGCCCTGCATACGTGTTGTTCCGCTTAGTGCCGACTCGGAACCGGATGAGTGTGCTTCATCACAAATTCAGTATGGAGCTGCCAATTGAAGCCCCATAAGGGCTCCTGAATAATGCATCATAACAACTTTATCCTTTGTTCTAATGAATTGAGGTCCATTGACAGAGTATCGACTGCGAATGTGGACGGCGCAAATAATTGCTACGGGGCGCGATAGAAGGAGCACAGCGGAAAACCGGACGAGGCTTGCAGGATTGCTTGTATTTTATCACAGCAGGAGATCATGCTCCCTCTACCTATCACGGCCCTCGCCCACCTTTTGCTCGGGCACCTGTTACTAACAACAGCCATCGCCGGTCGGCTTCCCGATGTGTGCGACAACTATGAACCACTGTACGCATCAATCCACCGTGATCTGGACATCTATAAACGCAACGCAGGCATATCACCGAATTTGATCTACCGGACCATGGTCTTGCACAGGTAAGTTACATCCCTACACACGGCGCCAGAAGTCGCAACAAGCTCCTCGCACGTATCGCACGTTACACCCTTCCCTCCTCACTTTCCTCAACCTATTGCTTAAAAAGGTGACCACCTCTGCATCATGTAAAGTCCCCTTGCCGGCGGGTCCGACAGGACATCCTTCCAATTGAATCCATTGAAATCGGCGCCCTCCCTCCAATTTCCCGTTTCCACATCCAAACCCCAAACCCCTAGCTCCCACTTCCAACCTCAACTCCTGAACCCCAGAATAACGTCTGGCTCGCCCCCTGCCCCAAACCCTCCCCAAACCCCATATCCCTAACCCCCTTCTCGGGCCCCCCCACCCCTACCCCCCCCCAAACCCCATATCCCTAACCCCTTCCCTAACCCCCTCCAACTCCTCTCCACAGCGCGGGGTACCGCGAGAAGGGCCTCGCGGTGGCGGTCTACCGCGGCAAGGTTTACATCATCTCCAACACACGGAGCATCAGCTTGAAGCGCTTTGGACACCACGTGAGGGGGCGGGGGGCTGGGGGGGTGCGATGCGTCCTGTGTGGGTGGTTGGGTGGACGGTTGGTTGGTTGGTTGCAATCCCAACGGATAGACGGATGGTTGGTGGTTTGCACGGTGTGTGTGTGTGACCGGGAAGTCACAGACCCGAGCCGGGGACCCAGTATGGGCAGAAACATGTTGGCGCTCCCGCACAATACATACATACATACATACATACATACATACATACATACATACATACATACATACATACATACATACATACATACATACATACATACATACATACATACATACATACATACTACTTAAATACTTACTGAACACGTGACTTGGCGGCAGGTGGCACTTTGGGTGGCGTACATCAAAGTACTGCTGGACCTAGAGGAGAAGTACGGCAGTTATCTACCGGACGTTGAGTTTGTGTGGCACACGATCGACCGGCCCATCCGGCTCGTCAACACGACCCCCGGGGGGGAGAACTTCCCGGTGTTTAGGTTCTGCAAGAGTGTCGTACATCCCGATATCCTAGGTAAGCAGCTCCCTGGGTGTACGCTCCGTACCGTGTCATGCCGTACCGTATCTTACACCTCTGGTTTGCCAACTTGCTGGTGCCGCTGTGTGGTTGCCCTTTGGCCTCCCGCCTGCGTTCCGGAGCCAACGGAGCGTGTGTGTTTCACGCACCCTCCCTCCGGTACCTCCTCCCCTTCCCAATTTCGCTCAATTCCCCTCCACACACACATACACACACATATACACATATAAACACACACATAAACACATGAAACGCTCTCCCACCCCGGTCTCATACCCTCTATTCTCCCCACCCCCCAACCTTCCTGCTTTCAGCCCCCTTCTCCCCTCTCCCTCTTCCTTCCCTCCCCCCCGAAAAAGCATTTTTCTTGCGATTTGCGTCGTCTCCTCCTTCCCCTCCTCAGTTACCCCCCCTCCCCCCCCCCG